ACACGTGGGGGGGGGTGGGGGTGAGAGGTCTCAGCTGTGGCCCCTGAGCGCTGTCCTTCACATTATAACCTGCCGACGTCTGGATATTCAGCATGGGTAAAGGGGTAAGTGATTTTCATTTAAAAATATCTATCATAAAGTGCTTTATTGTGTTGTCGCTCTCAACCCTTTGCTTCCTGTTGAAGCTGTTGTAATGCATGACTCAGTTGCTGTGCTCCTACTGTGACTTATATACAGTAACAGCATATGGCTTGGATATGCATCATGGAAAACTACTGAGATTTCTAAACCCGTCTGCAGCGCTGGATTCTCCTCAGACTGCTGCTGTTTATTTGTTTTCTTTAAAGACAGTATAATTTCAGGATGATGGCTTTTCTTCTAAATAAGTTTTGTTAACGGCTTGTTGTTTATTTGGGTAATTACGTAATTTTGTTTTTTATTCTCTCCATCAGGCCCATTCCATTTAGCTTTATGGGGGGACAGGCTGGTAATCTTCCTCACACACAGTGGGGGGAAATTGCTATGCGAGACACATTTCAGGCACTCCACCGACTCTGTGCTCCGTCTTTGGCTTTTTTTGATTACTTTTTCACTGTGTCACTCGCTCGCACTCTGTGTGTATCCCTCCTTCACTGACATGCACACGTGCTGCTAAGAGAAGACTGACAGCAGCAGATGATTTCCATGATGCACCATTCTTCCAACTGCTCATGACACACACACACACTCGCTCTCAGGCACACAAATAAGGGAACTTTCACTATGAGATAAATATTTTCTCCTCCATATTCAGTGAATGGGTTTGCCAATGTTGCCAGGAGACTGAAATGAACCGGCATACACACAAGTCTATTTTGCTTACACTGACTCTTGTAATACGTGGCTGAGAGTCTAAATGGCTTGACACAATGTGGCTACAAGCACAATAACCCAGTTTGTTTTTGTTGTGGAAGTTTAGGATAATGTGTAATCTCTATCTCTCCCTCCTTCCCTAGTTTGGTGCCGAGAATATGGGGAAGAAGAAAAGGAAGGAGAGGGACTTGGATGAGCTGAAGAAGGAAGTGTCCTTGGTAAGAAAAATAAGCTGTCACTGCTCCTCCCAACACTGTCACGCCAAAGACACCGGGATATTTAACAGGGAAAATGAAAACAGTGGCCAGTAAACAAAAAAGGCAATCCAACCTGCTTAGTGTTGTCGGTTGTAGATGAGCCAGCCTGTCCTCTTCTATCGCTTCCACCAACCCTCCGGCTGCTCTTCTTTGTACTCAGAAAGATGCTGAATAATTTGTGGGCCACCAGCAGTGTTAGAGCAGCGTCTTTGTCTTGTGCAGAGCTGTATCCCTTTGAGGTGCTGTCTGAACGCAGCCAAGCGATGCCCATGAAAGCTGGGTCTATCTCTGGTAAAACAGCTCTTGTCAATTATCAAGTTGGCCTGTTGACCTAGTGGAGGAAAGAAATGCTTGGATGCTGTCAACACTTCCAGCGTTGTTCGGGGCTTCAGTGTTCTGTCATCAGTCTGTTTCATGTACTTCTTTCATTGAGTGATTTCCTACATTTCCCCCCCAGTGTTCCTTTAAACAACCATCAGACAATGGCTGATCAATATTGGGTGTAAGGGCATACATTGTAAATAAAGCATAACCAGTGAAGTGATCTGTGAACACTCGGGCATGTCGTTGACGGTGGCCAAATCACTTTCGCTGTGGTCCTCCGAGGGGACTGTTTGTGAAGAATTTGATGGATTTCTCCCTGTCTTAGTTTTGAATGAACAAAGCAGCCCTTCATGCTGTAGGACTGACAACTTCCTGACAGCTGCTAGCAGGAATTTGTGTGGCTACAGAACCAAGCTCCATTTCAGCTACAGGGGAAATCTCGAGCTGCAATATGCTGCTCAGGAATAATAATGCAAACGTGCCACCAATCAGAATCAGAAATCATTTATTTATCTGGTAATTAAGATAAGTACAGCTTTATAACAGCAAAAAGAAAGTGCAGATGAAAGACAGAATTAACAAAAGGGGCTAACGTTTTTGTAAATTTGCGAAACACAGATGTAATAGAATAAAATAGATACATACCATGGTAGAAATCAGTTGCAGAATATTAAGGTAACTGAACTAGCAGCCAGAATTAGAACAAAACAGGAAAATTAACCAGCAAAACAATGTTTAAGGAATACTTTCCCATGAAATTGGTGTATGAATTACTCACCTTGTGTTATCTTGTTAGAAGAATACAAAAAAACACTGTTTGCTAATCGTGCTTTTGGGTACTGATTATGAATACGTGTTATTACTAGAACGGTGCTAGTGGATCGCCGGAGCTGTTAGATTAACATTAACATGCTTATTGTAGTTGTAAGTGCACTGCCTTGCGGCCTGTAGCACCGTCCTTGATGGAGCATATGTATGGGCTGGACCTGTATTTTACAGGAAAGGAGTGAGCAGAGAAGTTGTCGATTCTTGTTCTGTTTTCTGTGAATATCTGCCTCACCCTCTCAGACTTTGAGTTGCGCGCGCTACAAAAGAGACGTGTTACCATGGAAACCAAAAAATGGTGTAGCTGTATTAAAGTCCGAGTGGAAACAGTCGTGTGTAAATCTGATTTTGTCAGAAATGCGGGAGAAATATGACCCCGGGAGGAAACCGGGAGAGGGCAATGAAATCGGGAGTCTCCCTCGAAAATCGGGAGGGTTGACAAGTATGTGTGCTAGAGGTTTGCTCCCTTCTCTAGTTCAGCACTACTCAGAGATTCAAAGATTCAGGGGAGTACACCTCACTGGTTGACCTCTTGACCATCTGTCATGGGAAATAAATAATGTATACATATTCCCTGGGTCCATGTCAGCCATAGAATAAAGTATTTTATCAGTGAGATAGAGATATGTAATGGATCAGTGCTATGCCCTCCCGATCTATATGACCCTGGTGTGTTATTAATAATTCCCTTTACAGCTGCAGCCATGCCGCCTCATCGCTCAAAGCAAAACGTTGAATATTTTGCTTTAAAATTATATGTACAGTTTCCCATTTATTTTATGTCATTGACAAATTACCTTAGAAAACAATGTTACTGGCCAATTACCATTATACCAGATTCTATTAGGTGTTTCTGTTCCCCTGAAGAACAGATTAAAACAACTTTGTTCTGCCTACAGGACGACCACAAGCTCACTTTGGAGGATCTGGGAAAACGCTATGGAGTGGACCTCACACGGGTAACAAACAATCTCATTTACACATGCACAGAAACACACACACACACGACGATACCGCCCACAGAGATGTGATCTGTGTGTGTCGGCACGTGTAAGCAACATCCAAACTGAGACCAAACATTTCTTTGGTCAAGTTTGATCCACAGCAGCGTCTTCAGCTCACCTTGAGCCTCATTCATCTTTAATCCCTCAATCACACAGATGCACACACAGACATACACACTTTGATGCAACGACAGACAGAATCGAATACATCACACCGTTTTTTTATGCCGTAAACACATTTGCTCCGTACCTTAAGTTTGACATTGCAGCTGAAGTGAAACTGATTTTATCTTTTTGAGATTAGTGTTGACAAAAATATTAAACCTTGGGTGCTCAAAAAATATCACAAGCTTTAAAAATGGCAAAGGAAACCTGCTTACCCTCTGGAGAAAATAGCCGATTTCTGTGTTTTTTGACATTGTATCTGTCGCTAAATGTTCTTCAAATACATGCATGAATTGTCTATAATTTGAACATGACACTATTAGGAATTAAATAATGAAAATATCAATAAATACAGCAGTTTTGTTGCCTTAACCTCAGTGAGAAGATTCTCCCAGTTTATTATACCCGTAGTGTTAAATAGGCCAAGCAGGAACACTTTATGTTTTGCAACTGTAGCAGTAAAATAGCTTTTTAAGCCATGGTGAAAATGGGGTCGTTGTGTGTTGTAATAAGATTCCTAGCTGTTGGGACAATAATGAATGTACTTCTAATATCAGAGTACACATGATAACGAAGGCCCTACGTAGCTGTGTACGTAACAGGATGTATGATAGAAGAGCATCAGGACTGTTTTAGGCATAGCTATGTGATTAACATGCTGATTCAGCCTCTACGGAGATAGACATATGACTCTCATGTTTATTGCTTACGCAGGCCTTAGCTCACATGTGTCAAACTCAAGGCCCGGGGGCCAAATCAGGCCCGTGGTGGATTTAATTTCAGCCCGCAGGATCATTTCTGTTACTATTAGATCTGGCCCGCCGGTATGTTGCACGCACACCTTCACTCCATCCTGAGGGTTTCCTCAGCTCAGAGCCTGAGCCCAAACATTGATGAACTTGCACCTAAGATGAGATGCCAAGTCTCTGAAATAGCATCACAGAGCAGCACACTGAGTTTCAATGTTTCCTTCTGCACTTTGTTTCTTGAGACAACAGGGCATGTTTGGTTTGTTCTCTGAGGGAAATAGTTTTGTTGAAGCTGTTGTTGGCCTGTGGAAAAATGTAATCATAAGAAATGACTCCGGAAAAGCTGCAGATAGAGCCATAAGAAATGATTGCAGCTGATTATTTAATGTTTAATGTTGTTTTTATAGGCAATCATTTAAGCTTTGTTAGTTCCAGGTTTAATTTGTGCAATAAGTTCATTTCAATAAGTTCTGCAATAAACATTGAACCAAGTCCGGCCCTTGACTAGTACCCATTTTCTAATTTTGGCCCACTGTGTATTTGAGTTTGACTCCCCTGCCTTAGCTAATCTAAAACTAAACATTGAATACTGCTTTGAACCGGTATTCCTCCATCTTGTGACTGTGAAACTCCCTCTCTTGTATATCACCATGTGAAGGTCACTGCTCTGGAACAAATTGTACCAAATGCTCTGTATGGGATGACTACTTCCATTCTTGCAAGGATAATAAAAACATGTATCCTGATATTGAAGCTCAAGCCGGTGACGAGTTCATGTATAAAAGACGTACAAAAGTGCATTTTGCATGATAGGTCCCCTTTAAGTTAGAGGCAATAATATTAACACAGTTTTAGCTTTCTTCTCTTATTTCTTGATCAATTGATGTTAAAATTGACATATTTAGTAACCTATCTTTTTTAATGAAGCTGAAAATAAATGTTTTATCATACTGTATTATTATAAACGTTAATGGGAAACGTTTTTCACCACAGACATGCTAAGCACTTTGTAATAAGGACAGTTTAATAACCATACCCTTTAGTGTAGAAAAAGTCAACTCAGTCTCACGGCATTTCGTGTTATAGTCACGAAATGAATCTATTGATCTATCTATAATCTATTGTGTGTGACAATTTTTCTAACAGATGCAAAAAAAGGAGACTCATTCTTAAAAATTGCTCTCCCTCAGGGCCTGACCAACGCCAAAGCCCTGGAGGTTCTGGAAAGGGACGGTCCGAACACCCTGACCCCCCCGCCCACCACCCCCGAGTGGGTCAAGTTCTGCCGTCAGCTCTTTGGCGGCTTCTCCATCCTGCTCTGGATCGGTGCCATCCTCTGCTTCCTGGCCTACTCCATCCAGGTGGCCACAGAGGACGAGGCGGTCAATGACAACGTGAGAAACTGCTTGTAAAACATGCACACATGTACGAGCACACACCTCACATATTAATCACTCACAGGCACACAGAGATGCAGGTACAGGGGCAAAGACAGCTGC